GATTGAATTTAGTACCTCACACATGCTAGGCAAGTGCTCCACCACTGAGCTACAACCCCATCCCTACAATTTCACTTCTAAACATAACACTTTGTTTTAAATTTATTAACAGTACTACCCTTTATTAATAGATGAAAATAAGGTTGTTTCCCTCCTGAGACTAACATATTAGAGTAGAATTTTCACTGGGAATTGTGCAAGACTTAGAAGACCAAAGAATTTGAGAAAAATCTTGTCTGTGTTAGAATTAACCAACTAATAAAAATAAATATAGAGATTATAGGCTACAGGATGAATTAGATTAGGGGATGAATTTGAAAGAAAATGACCTTAAGTCAATTCTCTGTTTTGGCCACCAGATGATAATATCAGGTCAAGGCATTAGATGTTGTAAGGATGTGGGCAGGGTAGGAGTCAGGGGTCAGTAAATGCTTCCACATTTTATTTCTAAATGCCCTTCCTCGAAAGAAACTCACGTTTGAAATTTCTAAGCAGGCAGATGGAAGGCCAAGGAAAGTACTGTGCATTTCCTGTATCCCAGACAATACCAGGCATAAGCCAATCACATAAATGATGCTCAATATGTAATAACAATAAAATGCTAACTTCATAGACTATTTTAAGGATTAAGTGAGTTAATGCATGAATAATGCTTAGAACAACATGTAGCATGTGCATGCTATCTATTATTACTACTATTTTTATATTTGTTTTTTGATTAAACCTCTTGCAATACTCAGAGAAGTCATTTATGAAAAAAAATAAGCACACATTTCTATTATTTAAAAAGATGATGTACATCAAGGTGAATATAATGAAATTATATAATCTCAATATTTAGAAGAGAGGTATATGAATGTATTCACCATGAAGAAATGTTAAAAGTTTAAGGTAATGGAAATGCTGATCTGACCTGATCACTACCCAGAAAATTCATGTATTATGACATCCCATTTGCTTGATATCAAGCTAGAAATTATATTTATAGAATTGTGAGAGTGCTTCAATTTTGAATCTGCTTGAAATTAAAAGTATAAAAAGCACCAAACCTGAAAAATCTATTTTAACATTTTTGTCACCAACTTCTAAGGCTATTTTCTGCTTTTAAGGAAACTTTATTATTTCTGTTCTATAATTCCTTGGTTCCACCCATTAGTTATATTTGTTCATATGCAGAAAATTTATTAAGATGAATTTTTGGAGATTTGTTTTTCATTTGTAGAAATGCCACTCAACATTTTGTACTTTTTCTCATGTGGCATTTTGTTTCTTTAAAGCTGTTTCATGTTAAAGTATTACATTTATAGATCAACTACAGTGCAGAGTAGCAGAATAATGGTAAATTTGTGAGGAGAATAGAACAGCAAAAATGGAAGCTTCTATAGGATTTTTTCAGGAGATTTCAAGAGCCTGGAAAGCAAAATTATGAAAGCTGTATTGAAAAAGGTACTTCACCTCATAGAGTAGTTAATTGACCTACCTAATGAGATGGAAAATAGATTATGTTGGGAGAGAGGTATTTAATGAAGCAACCCTAGAAATTCTCTACACTGAAAAAAAAAGTCCTTGGCAACCAAGCCTTTGTCAAACTGTCCTTCATTATGTAGTTATTTATCTTACTTTTATATAATGGATGAAAGCTGTATTTAAAGCAGATGTTAAATTAGGTTGTAGACAAGAAAATTATATGTCATATTACCTTTATTCTACCCTTGCCTATAATAATGCTGATAAAATTATAAAAGTTAAGTTCTGTAGCTTCTACACTTTGATTATGCAGGATTTTTATTGGATAAACTAAAAGGGACAAGTGTATCTTTATGAAAGTAATTGTAAGGCCATTTTTATGCTTAAATTTTTGTGAGTCTTATATAGTTAATTAGTCATAGTATCTTTCTGTTATTGAAGATCTACCTAAATATGAATTTAGAGGTTAAGTTTATAATAATAAAAGTAATGACCTAACATAAGGGAAAAAAAATCAAGTTTGCCAACTGCAAAAAGGAAATGTGATTCCTTATATAATAGAGATAGTTTAACATAGAAAACTCAAATACTAAAAAAAATAATAGAATGATACCTGGTTAAAGGATAAGACAATTTTAAGTGTTTATATTTTAGAAACTCTAATGTCAGTTAATTTTTAGTTTTAGAACAAGTAAAGTCCCTCTCTCGTTTTCTACCTCAGGCTGTCCACTATGAATTTGTTTGCATATAGATGTCACCCGAGGTTGAATCAATGGTTAAATTAATTCTAGGCCTAAATTGTAGAAAAGATAAAGAAGTAAAGAACTAACTCCTATTAATTTTACACAGTATGTGTGCACAAATTATTGGAAATTCTGATGAACATTAACATTAAGGAATGGGAAAGGAGATGACAGATAGATAGCTATTAAAGAGTTTCTTGGCTAGTTTCCATTTGTAAATATCATCATAAATTATGTTTTAAATTTGACCAATCCAGCCATTAGAATGAACAAGAAAATAATGACTTTTGCCCTGAATGAAACAAATGCTGTGCTGATAAAAGAGGTTTAAACTAATATCAGGTGGTGCTTGGCACTATTGAGTAGATATTTTAAGAAATTAGGTTGGTAGCTATTTCCTGTATTTTTAACACATGAGGACATTCATATTTTCTTGCTAGTTTTACTCCATATTTTTTTTTTATTTTTTAAATTTTATTTGTTCTTTTTAGTTACACATTACAGTATAATGTATTTTGGCAAATTATACATACTTAGAGTATAACTTATTCTATTTAGGATTCCACTCTTGTGTATATTTTTAATTTCTGGTTTTTAAGCCAGAAATTTGCTGGGCACTGTGGAGCACACCTGTAATCCCAGAAGTTCAGGACACTGAGGCAGGAGGATCATAAGTTCAAAGCCAGCTTCAGCAACTTAATGAGACCCTAAGCAACTTGGCAAGACTCTGTCTCAAAATAAAATATAAAAAAGGTCTGAGGATGTCGTTCAGTAGTGAAGTGCCCCTGGGTTCAATCCCCTGTACCAAAAATAAAGAAAGAAAGAAAGAAAAATAAAAACTAGAAATTTATTTCTCACAATTCTGAAGGCTGGGAATTCCATTATCAAGATACCAGATTCTTTTGAAGGCCTTATTGCTTTGTCATAATATGGCAGAGGGCATCACAGAGAAAGCACATGTGAGAGAAGGTGTGATAAAGAGTACTCTGTATTTCTTTCTTTTTTTTTAAAAATTTTTTATTGTTGGCTGTTCAAAACATTACATAGTTCTTGATATATCATATTTCACAATTTGATTCAAATGGGTTATGAGCTCCCATTTTTACCCCATATACAGATTGCAGAATCACATCAGTTACACATCCATTGATTTACATATTGCCATACTCGTGTCTGTTGTGTTCTGCTGCCTTTCCTATCCTCTACTATCCCCCCTCCCCTCCCCTCCCCTCCCCTCTTCTCTCTCTGCCCCCTGTATTTCTTTCTTTTTAATTGGAGGTGGACAGCACAATGTATTTATTTGTGGTGCTGAGGATCGAACCCAGTTCTCCACACATGTCAGTCAAGTGTGCTACCACTGAGCTACAACCCCAGGCCCTCTGTGTTTCTTTTTGACATTAAAACAGTTTTATTTTTTAAAGCAAATATTAAATGAAAAAACATGTATTCACAAATAAAAAGTCTTCTAAGACTAATATATTAAAACTATAAGGAGGTGATGCAGATAGTGACTAGAATTATGACATAGTGATTATTCTATTACCATGAAGTTGTGGAACCACACAGTAAACTTCATTTGGAGGATCTGCCTAGCTCCAGAGAGGTTCCCTCTTGAGTAGTCTCTTTCTCCACCTTCAAAATAATCAGAATTTTCTTTCTGATTTTTGGCCAAGTGTTTTTGGAACCAAGGACTGGACAGTTAACGCCCATACTTTGTCACTTGATGCCATCTATACATGAACCTAGAAAACATTTTAGGTTTAAAGGTTTGCTTCAAGGATTTGGATCATGTTTAAAATATTTGCTTTTAGTATCTGAGAGAGTTAAGTTAAATTTCTGTGTTCCTATCTTTTTTTTTTGGCGGGGGGCAGTCCCGGGATTGAATTCAGGGCACCCAACCACTGAGCCACATCTCCAGCCCTATTTTGTATCTTATTTAGAGACAGAGTCTCACTGAGTTGCTTAGTGACTTGCTTTTGCTGAGGCTGGCTTTGAACTTCCAATCCTTCTGCCTCAGCCTCAGGAGCTGCTGAGATTACAGGCATGCACCATTGTGCCTGGCTTTTCCTATCATTTTTAAAGGAATCTAGTTAACTTTTATAGATATTTATGTGGTATGAAGTCTTACCTGGTAATTAATACTATAGATTGGAAATCCGGTGTTTGAACTCAATCTTTTTTTTTTTTTTTTTTTTTAATATTTTTAGTTGTGGATGGACACAATACCTTTATTTTATTTACTTTTATGTGGTGCAGGGGATTGAACCCAGGGCCTCATGCATGCTAGGCAAGCGCTCTGCCACTGAGCCACAAACCCAGCCCCAAAGTGGATTTAGTTGATTGAACTTTTTTTTTTTTTTGGTGCTGGGGATTGAACCCAGGGCCTTGTGCATGAGAGGCCAGCACTCTACCAACTGAGCTATATCCCCTGCCCTGAACTCAATCTTAGTGGATCAAATAAACAATGACTAGAAACTCTAGACTGCAGGGAAATTGAAGTATCTTTATTTGTCTTCATGTGAATGAAGATCAAACATCATCAAACAAAAATCCTTGACTGCAAATTTTATATTCAGTCACTTATGTAGATCAATGATTATTTTTAAATGTTGCTGTAAAACAGTTTTACTTAAGTAAACATTTCTAGAGTAAAAAATTAAGATGGATTTTCTCAGAAGTATTGTGTCAGGTTTTTTCATTTAAAGCCATGACTGATTTATGTGACTAATCTAAGTTTTCATTTTTTTTTAGAATCATCACTCATTTTGAAAGTCACTCTTTTTAGATGTGATGGAACACCGGCTAGCACCTACCCTTACTGAAATACCTCTGATAGCTCCACTTATCAATAGCGAGCCCATGTATCAGGTAAAAATAATTTTGCTTTTCTTTTCATTGTAACTGTTTAAAATATTCTCAAATCTAGCATTAGTTTTTATTTAGAAAAAGTGTTCAGTATTTTATGATTGACCACTTATTTGGGAATATTTTCATTTTTTATCATCATAGGTTTATCTTCCTAGTAGGCCTTTTGAAAATCACTTAAGGCATTTAACATTAGCTTAACCCACATATAACTTCCTTTGGAGTTGATATAGCTGATTTTTCAGACTCCTTTGATCAGTACAAAAGTCCTGATGCTGTGTTTTAAAGTCTATAGTACCTACAGTCTCTTCTGATTTTAAAAAAATATGACGCTAACATAGACTAACGTCCTTTCATATTCATTCACAGATGAGTTCAGCTTCCTAATATTTAAAAGTATTGTGTTTGGACAGCAATGACTTCCGTATATATGATCAGTTTCCAGAAAGGAAGAAAGAGTATAGTTCAGATTTAGCATTTTCTCCTTTCTTTATTCAAGAGAAGTCCTATCTCAATATGTTCTGTACAAAGATTACTCACTTTTCTTCTCTTGAATTAAAAAAGAGCAAAGATGTATATCTAGCTTATAATTTTGTTTGAGTTAAAATTTCATTTAAATTAATTTTTTTACTAGATGGAGAGTAATCATATAGACCCCACTTTTGCAATACACTATTCCACCAATTATTCACAAATGATGACTCATCCCAAGAGATATTCCAGATGGCCTTCTTGTCCTCAGTACTGGATACAACAAGTATGTCTGAATTTTACCTTTAGATTAGAAGTTTTATTTTGTGCTTTTCATTTTATGGAGCCTTTATTTTGTGGAGAGGGGCAAGGGAGAAGTTGATCTTTGTACATCAATTCACCTATTTTCTGTGATCCTACTAAGTTTTACTTGGGTGCAGGAGGACCTTTTCTTACTAAGGAGTATTGAATTTCCCCCACTAAGTGTCCATTGATTCAGTGTACTCTTCTCCTTGAGTTTTTTGTTTGTTTTTCTGTGGTGTTAGGGATTGAACCCCCGGCCTTGTACATTGACTAGGCAACTAACTGTTCTGCCACTAAGCTACTCCCACAGCCCTCCTTGAGCATTTTGAGCCATCCATAGTTAGTGGGTCTGAATATTATTTTAAGGGTAATAATAAATTTTAATAGATTGGTTCTTTTTAAGGAGCCAGGCACATTGGCACACGCCTGTAATCCCAGCGGGTGGGAGCCTGAGATAGGAGGGTCACAAGTTCAAAGCCAGCCTCTGCAATGTTGAGGTGCTAAGCAACTCAGTGAGACCCTGTCTCTAAATAAAATACAAAATAGGGCTGGGGATGTGGCTCAGTAGTTGAGTGCCCCTGTGTTCAGTCCCGGTACCAAAAAAAAAAGTGTATCATTAAAGAATAATTTCTTTCTAGATTATATTGGTGCAAGTTAACGCTGGGGAGACCCTCACTATCAAGTCTGATGATGGGACCATTCAGAATATTCAAGGTCAGTTAAAAGCATAATTATGTGTGTGTTATATTATATCAAATAGATTAAGTTTAAATATTAGAGTGAGATTACTAAAAACTCACTAATAACCTTTATGGTTGGAGCTAGATTAAATACTGATAAATTAATATAATCCTTATAGGAGCTTCGCATCAATATAACAATTAATATCACAATATAACAATTAATCTTGCTAATCTTACTAGACAAACTTCATAAGAAAGGTACTATAAAAAGAAGAGAGATTAGTTCAAGAATTCCATTTGAAGAAGTCCATATTTTGGAGACTTGATAGCCACTTATAGTTTTAGATTATTCCATAGGACCACTAAAGACCTTCAGACAGCTCATTCATTCATACATTCAACACGCATTTCTTTAGTGCCTAGTATGTAGCAGCACTGTATTAGACATTTAGGGTATGATAATATACAGAGGGGAAGGGATAGATAACATAATAAATTATGTATATAATTTTATATATGCATATGAATTTTATTATATGTAATATACTTTCATTGTTTTTATATAAAGATATTATGGCTTTATTATTACCTATTTCAAATTGAGATGATTATTTCTATTTTAGTACAATTATTTTGTATCCTAAAGTGATTTTTGAGATATATCTCAAGAATTTCTACAAATATTATTCTCTAGCAATGAATTTCTTATGGCTACTATTTAAAAATTATCATGAACTTATATTTATTATTTTCCCCATTACTAAAAATAGTTACCATTCTAGGATTTAAAGCCACATATATATTTAGAACTAAGTACTATTTATAATTTCAGATAAAAAAGAATGGTTACATACAAAAGTCTCTTTTGTGCTATATTTTGAGTTACTATACAATCATATGTTTCAGACAATAAGAATACCTAGTATAAATATAGAGCACCACATGAGTGATGTTGTGTCCTCCTTTATAAGGTACTGTTTCCTAAGATAATTTCACTTTAATATTATTGGTGGGAAACCTTAAAATGAAAATTAATTTAAGTTTATTATACATCACTATAAGAAAGATATTTTGTGGTAGAGAGTAAACTTAAATTTAGCAATATGTAACCATCATAGGCGAGAAAGAACTACCAGAAGGCTGAGAGTTCTTTTTCATTAGCAGTATAATTTGCCAACATTTTTATGATATAAATTTTACCCAATACCCATTATGTGTTTCAGTTATTTTCCATTGGTTATGATGAATTCACAGTGATTTATTTATGCTCTGAGTCCCCTTTGTGAGTAAACAACACACACTTTCAAAATGACTAGCTTCTGTTGAAGTTTAGTGCTGATTTTCATTATGCAATTTTAAATGGTTCCTGTAATGGACTTTGTTTAAATTTATTACAATATTTATTGACAATAATTTTCCTAGGGCCTGCTGATGTACCTCTGATGTCACCAAGTGGAACTTTACCACCAATATATCTTCCTCCTGGTTACATGTCTCAGGTATGATAGTGTGGTTTTTATTTGGTGTTCTAAAGTATAATTTACCATTTTTCATTATGTCACTATATAAGAGCCTATAGGCATAGGTGGCTCTTTGATAAAAGAACTTCTGGAATAGTATTTATGTATTCAGTTTACTATTACCATCATTACCAAAAAGCAATGGCTTTTAAACAAACCTTAAAATGCAATTGTTTAAAGTGACTGATTTTTAACCCAAATTCCCTTGGGTTGCCTTGTAAATGATGCGTAACTTATCTAATGAATTTGGATCTCTTAATCCTCCATTCTTTTCATGGTTGTTTCTAAGTAAGTTAATCCATTTTAACTACCTATTAAATTGCAACAGTAATTACTTCTGATAGTGTGTGTTATTTAGGCCTTAAAATTACTTAGTACTTTCTGTTTGGTAGTATTTCATTCACAGACTACTACAGGCACATTTAAGAAATTCCTTAAATATTTATCAAGCACCTAAAATGGGCAGGGAGGTATGTATGGCTTTTGAGATTAATAAGATGTTTCATGGCCTTGGAAATTTAATAAATAATTGAGAATATGTCTGTTTATGCTTCTTCATAGTTTTTTTTTTTATTAGTGACCCTATCTGGTTCTGTGTATTACACAGCTGAGGAGATGAAGAACATGCTAAACAAGTCAATAGTTTAATTCTAAATAGACTTATCTATTGGACAATAGCTAATGAAAACAAGTGCATATACATCTTCACTCAGCGATTTCACTTTAAGGAATTTATCCTTAAATTTGTTTTTACAAATTTAGAAAAATAAATGTACGAGATTATCCCTTAAAATACTGTTTGTAATCACAAAGGTTTGGAAAAATCCTAAATGCCTATCAATGAACAACCTTATAATATAGCCACATAATGGAGCACCATGAAGCTGAGCAAAATATAATAGAAAACTATATATTGGTATAGAAAACTCTCCAAGATATATTGCTGAGTACAAAAAAGAAAGTACAGAGTACTGCAATTAATGTTAAATTTTATATAGTAAAAAAGAAGGAAAAATAAGAATCTACATTCTTATTTGCTTGTGTAGGCATAAAGAAAATCTGGAATAAGTCATAAGAAGCCTAGAGTAGTTGTCTACTGGAGGGAATTGAATAGATAAAGGTTAAGAGAGAAATTTAATTTTATAATTTCTTTCACCTTATGGTTTTGAAGTATGTCAATATATTATCCATGGTCAAAAATTTCTTTTTAGGAAGAGGATTGAGGGGGTGGGGAAAGAGAGGTGGGAAAGGGGAGGAACAGGAATGAAATTGACCAAATTATACTATGTACATTCATAAATATGTCACAGTGAATCCCACTTTGTGTAATTATAATGTTCCAATTATAAATAAATACATAGAAGGAAGACCAGTAAAGTAGAGGAAAGGGGCCAGGGGAGGGAGAAGGGAAGGGAAAAGGAAGTATTGGAGATTGAAATGGGCCAAATTATATTATGGATTTATGAATATATCCATAGTGAACCCCACTGTTATATATAAATATAATGCACTAATAAATACAAAATACTACCTCTTTAAAAAGCCATGTATATATAGGAAAAAGGAAGAATTAATCTTGCTTTCTGCTTTACATTATAGTTTCATTTAATAATTGGTTTTTGATGTTTGATTTCTTGATTAAGATCATAGAATATAAATCAAAATTTAGTAGGGAAAATCTAATGTTTATGATTTCTAATATATATATATGACTCTCTTCCATCTTAGGTGGTAGAAGACAATGGGATTCGCAAAATTATCATTGTGCCCATGCCTGCTCCTATACAACAAGTATCACACTTCATAACACCACCCTCTCTTGTATATCCACAAGCCCCTCAACTGATGTTTCCCCAACCTCATGTGGAATTTCCAATACCTTACATCCAAGAACTTGTGCCTCAGCAGCTACCGCCACTACCACCACCATTGCCACCACCACCACCACTGCCACCTCCACCGGCAACATTTATTTACCAGGAGCATCACGGTAGTGTACAATTTTCTTTTTGAGGGGTAGGGTACCAGGGATTGACCTCAGAGGCACTCCCACAATCCTAACCCTTTTTATGTATTTTAATTAGAGACAGGGTGTCACTGAGTTGCTTAATGCCTTGGTGTTTCTGTGGTTGGCTTTGAACTTGCCATCATCCTGCTTCAGCCTCCCAAGCTTCTGGGATTATAGGCATGCACCACTGCACCTAGCTATAATTTTCTTAAATAAGAACTATTTTGAGTTTGTTAAAATTAACATATATGGACAATTATTAAAATGAAAAAAGTGGAATATAGTAACATTCTGTGAATGATTACATTTCATATAGTAGAACTGATGTTATTCCATAGGGAAAATGTTTATTATTCCTAAGGTTTATTTATCTTGGGCAGAATGTTCATTAAACACAATTTTCTATAAATATTTGTCATACTTTGATATAGCATGTGATTTAGAACATTAATTTTTACTGACTGGGTCTATTATAACATCAGATTGGAAAAATCATTAATTTTTTGATTACTAATGCCACATACTTGGAATATAAAAGACACTGTGAGGTTGACATTACAATTATCTTAAGACCTTAAAATTTGGAAGTGGAGTTACTACATAAGTAAACACTGTATTTACTCATGTTTTTCTTTCTATACAAGTCAATATATTATAAATATGCAGACATATACCTAATATCTGTTAAGGCAAAGTGGGAAAGAATTTCAAGTAATGCATGGTTTATTGATTCTCTTTTATTGGTTAGGTAAGAAAACTTGAAATATATATAATTAGTGTGATTATTAAACATCATCGCATTGTCTCTTTTAGAAACCTACTCTCATGGAAGAGCAAATTATAACCAATTTGATGAAAGGGCTGCTAAACTGGGAGAATATATGAAGAAAAAAATGAGAGAACGCCAAGTTGGTGGATATAAGAATAGTTATATGGTTAACAACACCTCTTTGATTGTAAACAAAACTAATGATTTTTCTAGTATTTATGGTACTCCAGGCGCTTACTCTGTGCACTGTGCTCCAACCACCTACACTGCTGACAATACATCCAACATTTATACTGTGGAAAATGCTCCAAGGACCTACACTGTTGGCAATACTTTGAACACCTGTACTGTGGACAGTGTCCCATGCACCTACACTGTTGAAAATACTTTGAGCACCTACACTGTGAACAATACTTTAAGTACTTACACTGTGGACAATGCTCCAAGTACCTATACTGTGAACAATGCTCTAAATATTTATGCTGCTGATAATACTGCCAGTACCAGCACTGTTGACAATTCTCCAAACACTCCCAACACTGACAAAACTCTCAGTAATTCTTCAACTGACCATGTCCCTAACACTTCCACCTCAGATAGTACTCCTTGCCTTGACAACACTGATAGTGTTACAAGCCCTTCTGGCACTAATTATGTTCCCACGACAACCACTTGTGATAGAACTCCCAAGCTATCAACTATTGACAGTACACCAAGCTCTCCTATTTCTGATGGTGCTCCCAACACTTCTGTCCTTGAAAATGTTCCCACCATTTCTGCCATTGATAATGCTCCCAACACTTCTACCATTGATAATGCTCCCAACACTTCTACCATTGATAATGCTCCCAGTACTCCTACCATTGACGGTGCTTCCAATACTCCTACCATTGACGGTGCTTCCAGTACTCCTACCATTGACGGTGCTTCCAGTACTCCTACCATTGACGGTGCTTCCAGTACTCCTACCATTGATGGTGCTTCCAGTACTCCTACCATTGATAACGCTTCCAATACTCCTACCATTGATAATGCTCTCAGTTCTTCCAATACTGCCAGAACACCCAGCACTGCTAGGGCTCTGGTTGAGAGTAATCATGGAAAGAGTGCTATGGGAAATGAAGACAACAAACAGAAATCAGGTGGAAAAGAAAACAAGAACCAATCATCAAATGTAAAAGGTAAAACCAAAAGTTTGGTTTAGTTGACAATGAATAAACATTCCAATGTTTAGGACTCTTAGCACATTTTAAATATTTAGATGCCATTTTCTGCTTCCATTTCCCTTTTTCTTCTTTGTATATAGCTACCTATAAATTATTTTTCTAATTTATTTTAAATTGATTAATATTATTTTTGATTGACAACTCATAATTGTATATATTTATGGGACTGAATGCAATATTTTGATATATGTACACTGTGTAGAATGATTAAATGAAGGGGTTGGGGTTGTGGCTCAGTGGGAGAGCACTTGCCTAGAATGTGTGAGGCACTGGGTTCGATTCTCAGCACCACATAAAAATAAATAAATAAAATAAAGGTCCATTGATAGCTAAAAAAAAAAAAAGAATGATTGAATGAAGCTAATGAGCATATCAGTCATCTCACTTATGTTTTTATGGCGAGACATTTGAAATTTATTCATTAATTTGAAATATACAATACAGTATTATTGCCTATACTCACTCTGCTGTGCAATAGTTTTCAAAACGTATTTCTCCTATCTGAAATTTCAAACCTTTTTATTAGAAACTCCCCATTCCCTCCCCATCCCCCAAAGCCTGGTAACCATTCTATTCTCTACTTCCTATGAGTATGAATCTATTAGATTTCACACGTGTGGAAGATCCTGCAGTATTTGTCTTTCCGTGCTTGGCTTATTTCACTTAGCTTAATGTTCATCCATGTTGCAGCAAATGACAGGATCCCCGCCCTGTTTTAAAGATTAATAGTATACAAAACCATACAAAAAGCTCCTTTTTAAAATCAAGAAGAAATAACTGTCCTCATGTAACATTTGTGTACCACATAATTTTGTTCAGTAGCCTGCCAGTAAAATATTCAAATTGCTCTACAGTTCTGACCAGTTCACATGATTTTAAATTGAGGACTTTTGTTCATCTTTTGTTAGAATTTGTTTAGTATGTTATACTTGGCACTGCTTTCTTTAAATCTTTTAATGTAAATTGCTATTAGGTGTTTATTTATTCTCTTGGTGATATATTTGTAGTGGGATAATGGGATCTAACCCCTTTTTCTTCTTTTTGCCAATGTAATATTTATATTGGTGTGCTTTTTTTAACTTTTAGAATGCAAAACAGGACACAAAAAGAAATGCTATTACATCTGTGAGAAACCCCTTGTAAGTAACTAAAGTGAATATTTAAGCATTCCTTTTCATTTGTTTTGATGTTTGAAAACCTGCAAATTCACTTGTATTTTATTTTTCTCTTGTTTTTTTCCCCACATTTTCATTGGTGCATTATAGTCTTGCATAGTTTTAATTTAAAGCTTTTACAGAGTTATTATTTCATAATCTTCTTTAGTAACCCAATAAGTGAAGATCTGATGTGGCATTGTTAAGGATAGGATTAATGGCTCATTGTTTATTCACAGTATTTAAGTACCCAACATGAGAACAATAATATAGTTAATATCAGGTAAGATTTAAGGAGACTATATTATAAATTCCAGATTATAATTTTTAAGTATGCTATTTGAATTTTTGCTATTTTAGGTTTCTGATATCCAAACAAGATCTGCTGTTATTTCATGGCATCTGCGTGGTTCTGAGACATGTGATCATACTAAATCCCCTGTAACATTTGAACTGGCAATATCTAATAGTGGTAAAAATGGAAAATATAAAATCGTTTATACGTAAGTCTTTCTTTTTAATCAGTTTTCATTTCTTATAATTCAAATATTCTATCTAAACATACAGACCCCAATTATGCTGAATTCTAAAGGTTTTTCTTTTTCTAAGCTTTGAATGTATTTTCTATAGAAATCATTTTCTACATGGTGGTAGGCTACCAGATCAGTCCACTAAATTCATTGAATTATAAATATATTAGAGCTGAGGGGGACTTTAAATATCAACTGGTCCATTCTTTTCAGTCTAAAGACTTCTTATTTGGGTGAATTTGAACTCAGGAAAGGAAAAAGTAAACCTCTAGTTCTCCTTCTCATTTTTCACTTAGGTCATTTTAGGACAAAATAAAGTTTCACATAACTTTATAATGCCTTTGGGTACACAAGCAGTATACATTGCCACAGAAATTTAAGACTTGGTCTCTACTAGGGATTTCATTATAGGAGCTAGTTATAAGATGGAGGCTGTGATAGTAACAGATGAGCTCAGGAATGCATCCAAAAGCTAGAACTGGGACTAGGGAGGACAAATTAGAAGACTAGTAAGAACACTCTCAGCCATTCCCAACAGTTTCTGGACTAGATGGGGATATGCGGTCTGCAAGAGAGTGAGGTAAGAAGGCATAGTGGGAAGGAAATCCAAATGGGGAAGGAGGAAAAATTTCTATACCCATCAAACAACTAGGCAATGTCATCCAGAGATCAGGGAGCTATCTGCCCAATATTTTGAAAAACATATCTTAAACTTTGCTAGAATTTGTCATCTGTACTCAGAGAATCAATGAAAATTTGAATTTGACTATAGATTGTGTAAAATTTTATTTATTTTATAATTAGGTAAATTTTTATCGAAATATACAATACACAATATTGGGTAGTGTAAATGGAAGATGTGAAAAGCTGTGTATAAAATTAACTTCATGAATTTACATGTCAGTCTTTTCTAGTATTATGCACTCTATAAAATCATTGTTTTTCATTTAGAAAGACTTATTTACCAACATTGTAAAAACAAAAAATAAAAACTTGCCTAGTGATCACTGAGTGGAATTTGCTCTAAAGTATCAATTTTTAGCTTTTTTGAAGTGTGTTTTAGGACCTAGAGCTTGAAGGGAGTTCCTTGAGATAGTAGAGTACACGTAGATGCTTGTGATTATTCAGGAAGACATATAGACATCGGAAACACAGTCACTTTCTTCATGTAACAGATAGGAGCCCACTCCAGAAAAATTGCTCTGTGTGACAGAATGAATAAATTGCATGACATGTGTTGTCTGATACTTTTCACATCTACACTATTTAAAATAAGCTAGTTAAAAACAAATCTCTATTATTAATACAATGTAAACACTATGTAGGGGTTAAGATAGTAAAATTTTGTTTCTTAAAGCTATATTAACTTGGCATTCAAATGAAGTATTTTGGATTATTGATACCACCATTTGATGCATCTAAAATGGGTTAAATTTATTCAAACTTCAGGGCGATTTGTGGTTTGATTCTCAATTAAATTGATAAGATTAGGACTGCTCTACTTAGCATATATTTTAAAAAAATATGTGTGAGATACATTACTTAAAAAGGCTCTTTTTACAGTGGTTATGGAGTTATATTTACCCTACGTGATCTACAGCCATCCATGGCCTATTTTTTAAGGTAAGAATTCCATCTTACATAATCTACCCACATAGCCTGTAGCCAGCCAAACTTACCAGTTTGAACCAGTTCACTACTTAAAATTTCTGCAACCAGCCTAACTATTTGCCAGCAAAGTGGGCTTTCCTTCAAGCTTCAAAATAACCACTCCAAATCCAGCATTAGTTCACTTTTTCATTTAGAACAGATGAGAGAGTGCTTTTGGAATTAGTATCTGCAAGGACCCAGCTGTGTTCTATTAGTAAATTTTTTATAATTAGCTGTTAAGAAATGTGTCTGGAAATCCGAGTTTGTGATTTAATACATGCGTTAGAATAAGTATTTGAAAATTTTTACAATTGTCATTACATTTTTAGAGTTACAACCATAAGAGGCTCGGGACACAGAACTGTGTCTGAAGTGTCTAGCTTCACAACACCAGGCTGTGAACCGGACCCTCCACTTGCACCTAAACTGATTAACCGGTCCAAGAGTAGCCTGAATTTACAGTGGAAAGTAAGGATTGTACTTACAAAACACAATTTTAAAATGCTCTTTTTACCATATCTTTAATTTTAAATGTGAATTTATGCATGCCTCATCTGACCTCTTTCCCTAGCACTTTTTCTATACAATAATCCTTCTCTTCTATCTGCATCAAGTGTCAAATAAAGTGAGAAATGTCAATAAGAATTTTGTTAATAAAGCTGAAGCACTAATTTCTACAACCTAAATTTAGTTATTTACAATTATAGTTACCAATAAATTTACCTCACAATTTACTTAAGTATTAATTTTCTTGTTTGTATATAATTTGGAAAACACAACAAAGCATACAATCTAACATGTCTTATAGAATGTAAAAAATGCATTTTAACTTTAAAATTTGGATTGCTTTAAAAACAAAATATAAGAAGATTCATTCACAGTAATTTGTCATTTTAAATATATGTACATATGTATGCAACATATGTAAAAACAGCTGATCATAATTTTATCTTTCTGATATTTCTAGGGTTCCAAAGATAATGGCTCCAAAATAAACAGCTTCCTTTTGGAATGGGATGAGGTACACAATTTTATCTTTAAAAACACTTGGTTGTGAATAATTTTTAATGTTATGATGAATTTTGTTCTTAATTTTATAATATTCTAATACTTTGTATCTATCACTAAGGGTAAAGGTGAAGACTTCAAATGTTGTTATGTGGGCACCATGAAACAATACAAGATCCTTAAACTGAATGCTTCTACAAAATATTCATTCAGATTAGCTGCCAAAAATAACTTTGGCACAAGGTACATTGAATTATTTACAGTATTTAAAAGTCTGCCCTTCCATAAAAACCTGAAAATAATTTATCCTCCTTAATCTACTTTTCAGTGTCTTCAGTGAAATAGCAGTTTTTCATACATCAGGAACTATGCCTCCAACACCTTCACCTCCTAAACTAAAAAAAGCAGGAGTCTATAGCTTGTCACTAGAATGGAGTCCCCCAGCTAACTCAAACCCAAATGACAGTCTTACTTATGTACTAGAAATGGAAGAAGCTGGATGTGTAAGTTTTCATGTTTTAATCTTTAACCTCAGTGTTAGGTACATTTCATATGCATTTCTCGCTTGAAAAATACTTAAATTTGTTTAGCTTACTATCTACTCAGTTCAATCAGAGATTATATGATTCCCAAGTCTGTACTCTGGATGAGATCAATGCAGAGTCAGAATTATGCAAGCCTGAACAAATATGCAAGTCCCGCAAATTAGCTAAATGTAAGCAGTCACTGTAAGGACAACATAGAGATGCAAAGAAATGTGTTAGTGTCCTCACCTTTAAGCCTTTTCTGAATGATCTTGAGTGGTCACACAGATTTTCAGCACCTTAACATAATGCTATCAAGCTATGTCCTTTCTTTGTCTTCTTAGATTCCTGATGTGGGTGGGCAATTATTTTATTTCATTCTGAACTTTCAAATCTATACCAACAAGGCTAGTCAATTTCAAAAGTAGCTATAAATTGTTGTGCATATTTTACCACAGTTGAAATAAAGCAGCTAACATTGAAAAGTGTTTTATATTGCAAGTAGTATGCAAAGTGCTTTCACATATATAATCTTACTAAATCTGAAAAGTAGGAGAAGCCCTTCAAAGAAAAAAAATCATCTCTATCTTTTAATATGGAGATATGAAGGTTCAGAAAGACTAAGGAACTTGATCAGCACTATCTAGCTGGAAAATAAGATGTTAGAACTTGAACCCAGGCCTTCCTGATTCCTAAATTCATCATCTTTTATTTCCAGGCATTAGGTTTTAAACCTAAATACAATGGAGAAGACCTCTCATACACTATAAGAAATCTTCAGAGAAGTACTACATACAAGTTTAGGGTATGTAGATATAATTTATATATTTGTGTCATATTTTAACATAAAATAATACTCTTCACTAGAGATAATGAGACTTAGCCAGGTGCTGTGGTGCACATCTGTAATCCTGGCCGCTTGAGAGGCTGAGACAGGAGGATCACAGTTCAAATCCAGCCTCAGCAATGGTGAGGCACTAAGCAACTCAGTGAGTCCCTGTCTCTAAATAAAATACAAATTAGGGCTGGGGATGTGGCTCAGTGGTCCAGTGCCCCTGAGTTCAATCCCTGGTACCAAAAAAAAAAAGGAGACAATGAGTCTTTTTTTCTTTGAAACTATTTAGCATTTAGTTCTCAGAAATTCTCAGTCAAATAACTTGCTTTTTATTTGCAAACTGTACACTACTAAACTAGACATTTATTTCCAATGGTCAAGCAAGGAATTCTCTTTTACTCAAATAGATGTTTGCCTACAATATGGAAGGAAGAAGTAACCCCAGTGCGGAAGTAAAATATACTACCTGTCCAGATAAGCCTGGGCCACCTAGAAAACCACACATAAGGGGAAAGATCCATGCACACAGAGTGAAAATCGGATGGGGTAAGTAATGTTAACGTATTTAAATTTTGCTCTTTCTGTCTTCACTTTTCAGAGCAAATCTTGTTTTAATTGCTCTCAACTTTATAAAGTATTGTCTAAACATTTTTAAATGAAATATTCTGCCATATAAATGAACTTAGGTGTAAACCATATTGTTTCTAGTTTTCTATTGAATTTTCTATTGCTGTATCATTAATTCACACATTAACAAATTGTTGAATTTTATGAGTTATTAAATATTATGCTTATTCCAAGTAAAATTACATCTAAGAGGCCACATTCAGAAGGCCACATCAATGATAAATATCACCTTGACAAGAAATTATATTTATACAAATATTTTTGCCTCAAAACTAGAGAAATGAATTTTTATGACACATATACTTGACATTTAAGTCTCTTCCAAATAGCATTTAAAATATTATTTAAATGCTTTATGGCCATTATCTTAGCATGCAACTTATAATCTTTTTTAATATTTGTATATTAATTCAAAAAGTTTAATTTTGTTTTTTTCCTTTGTGAAAAAAATTAATTTGTGGGATAAAATTCCAGTGAAACACTTATAAGTTTTTCAAGCTTTTTCAAGTTAATTTTATATCTCGTTCCAGAATCACCCAAAGATAATGGTGGAACAAACATTTCAAGCTATAGTTTAGAAATTAGTGAAAATTTAAATGGTAAGACATCATCATGTTTAAAGATTTTATTTTGAAATAATATTAGACTTTACCTAGAAGTTATAAAAATGGTATAGAGATTTCACATGTAAACTTTTCACTTGGCTTCTCCTAATATTATTATCTTAAGATAACCATATTGCAATAACCAAAATCAGGAAATTAGCATTGGTACAGTCCTATTAACTAAATCCCAGAGCTTGGATTTTTGATAACAAATCATGTTTACTTACTGACATCTCATGATTTTATGGTTAGTTCTACTTGCAATTTAATTATTTAACTATATAGAGAATTGAATCATTAATTTCCAAAACAGTTACTACTGAGTATATAATGTATCATGAGGACCTATAAAATTTATGTGACCTATAAATAAATTGGATAAATTTGCTTTTATACCTTCAGAAAATCTCTGGAATACAATCTACACTGGCCCCACAAAGGAATTTTTATATGACAATTTGAAACCTGGTACTACATATAAACTGAGAGTATTTTGCACTTCTCCAGTAGGCCAAAGCCAGGTGAGGAAAGAGGGGAAATTTTTTAAATTAAGATGGAAATGAATATATTACTAAATGTTTTATAAAATTGATCTTAAATTTAGTAAGTCACAAGGTATCTTGTATTTCTCTTAGCCTTCAGATATTTTGACCATTCAAACACCAACTCTTTCTCCTGCATCTTGCCATCACCCACCCTTAAATGGTAAAACGAAGTCCAAAGAAAGGAACCTTCAAAGTGGTGAGGCTTCCTTGTCTGATTTGATGAATTCACCTCAATTTCCTGTTCTGAATTTTTTTTTGCACATTAAATGTTATTACAGCAGAACAAATAGTTTTTAATATAAAATCAAATATTGCTTAGCAAATTGTTTCTCAATATTGAAAACCCCAAATTTTTAATGTCTGTAAATCAAATTAAGAAGTTAATTGACATAATCAATGTTTTGAGTCTTCTGTTACTTTAAGCATTTTTAAATAGAACTGTCTTAAATCATTTTGTATTATTTTAAAGAAACACCCTTAAAATTATTTCTAGGGTTTGGGAGTGTAGCTTGGTAATCGAGTGCATACTATGCATACATAAAGCCCAGGGTTCAATCCTCAGCACACAAAAATCTTATTTTTTAAAATGTCAAATTTATTTTGTATACTGTACAGACAATCCTTCTGCTAATGGAAACTCTGAAGCACTTGTACATGTCAAAAAGGCAAAAGGTAACCAAGATAACACAAAAGAGCAACCTGGCTCGGAAGATGGATGCATAGTGAGTAAATTAACTCCTGAGGAATCCACAGTTCTTTGGTTAAAAGCAGCAAATAGGGCTGGGGAAGTTGTACTACTTAGTTGGCCCATTTTATTTCATTTCACTTTGGATAAACATATGCTTCTACTGTAGTTTTTTTCAAAGTGAGGAATGACCATACCTGCAAAATCATTTATGCGTTTGCCTCTTTGTTTTTAGCTTGGATCTCATTCAGTGACGAGTGAAACTGCACCAGTCCCAGGCCCTCCTTCTCATTGTGGTACACCTGTGCTAAACTGCAGGGGCCCAACCTGTGTTGTTGTTAGTTGGGGAGTATGTTATCAATTTATTTTTATTCATTTTTGCTAATACATAGGCACATTAGTACATTTAGAAAGTTTTTTGAAAGCCTAGAAATCTGTAAGAAATTAGATATTAGAATTAGGGTCCTAAAGATCTTGGACCATGGTTTCTAGAAAATATCTAGGACCTAATACCAATGGTGTTAGGAAGACTACAACAATGATAACCCTGCTCTACAGATCTATATTTAAGGAGAATAATAAATTTAGAAAACTAAAATAAGCCATCAATAGGTAGTTAATTGAATTTTTGAAACCAATACAAGAGGGCTGGGGTTGTAGCTCAGTGGTAGAGTACTTTCCTACCATGTGTGAGGCACTGGGTTCAATTCTCAGCACTGCATATAAATAAATAAATAAATAAATAAATGTCCATCAACATCTAAAAATTTTTTTTAAATACAAGAGATAATAAATTTAAATCAATTTACAAAATAGTATTTTTAAAAGAATTTCATTGATAAATCTCTGATGTTTTTTTAAGAATTTCCCTAATTGTTTAGCCATATAGGCATATTTATATTTTTCTTCCCTTATCCCAGACTAAGTGTTTTTAGCATTGACACAAAAGCTTAGTCTGTTAATAATAAATTACATAGCTGATTACATCAAACACTAACCAATATTAATTAAACAACATTAATATGTTTGCTTTTTTTAAATAACACTTTTGAAAATAATTTTAATAAATTTTGAAAAGGCATTCACCTAATATGTGGGATTTAGCAAATCCTTTTACTTAAATTTTATTGAGCGCTTTAATGTAAATTACAGTGTCCTGCCTGTGTTTGTTTCTACATGTGTCTATCTCATAGCATCTGATTCTAAATTTTAACATTGAAAAGGTCATGTTGTAGCTCTCCACAGTATCTAATGTAGTGACCACTTAGAGAAGAACTCAATTTCTGTATTCATTACATCTTATAGATTCCTGAAAGCAATGGTGCTGAAATCACTGATTATAGACTAGAGTGGGGACAAAATGAAGAATCAATGCATTTGATTTATACTGGTCCTTGTCTACGTTATGAAGTTAAAGGTCTCAACCCTGCAACTACTTATTTTTGCAGAGTCCAGGTAAACCTGATGCTTCCTCCAATGTAAATGGGAAATAGCTATTAACCTACACTGTCCACATTTGTAATACTGATAGCATTTTCAGTGTAGACCAGAAGCATGTCCATGAGGAAGGGACTTCCAAATCATAAATATTTTTCATATTCAGCAATAGCATTCTGAACTCCTTCACATGCCATCTGGCATCTACCTTTCATTCTAACTTGATCTGTCATTATTTCCTCTACAATTTTGTATTTCTCAAATTTCCCTGAACTTAGCAATCACCTGAAATGCTTATTACAAACACTAATTCCTACAACCCATTCAGATATGAACCAAAATTTCTAATTCAAAGTTTTGCTAATTGGTATATTTAATAAACACCCACAGTGACAATTATTAAGGAAATATTGCATAAAATCTTTATTCCAAACAAGCAAGTCAATTCAATCACCACCCCCAAGTATACCTTCTACATTAATACATACTGTGCTATCTGCCTGTTTTGTCTCTTAACGCTTTTGCATTAATATGTTCGTGAAAATCTTAGTTGGAACTAACAATTATAGCAAAAATTACTTAAAGGTTTGGAGACAGTCCAAATTTAAAGTAATCCAGTATGTTCTCCCTATAAAATTTAAGTCATCAACATATCCTAGGAGAGGCTAGGGACATAATTCAGTGGTAGAGCATTTGCCTAGCATACACAAAGCCCTAAATTCAATTCTCAGCACTGTAAAGAAAAAGGTGGGGTAACCAAATACCGTAGAAACTCTAATACTGGGCATCTAAGCTCCATCTCCCACTGCCTTTCATAACTGAATGTCATTTTATTTATATATTTATTTATTTTACCCACTGATCAACATTTTCCCTTCCTTCTCTCCCCAGCCTCTGATAACTATCATTCTACTCTAAATTTCTATGGTATCAACAGTTTTAGATTCCACATGAGTAAGATCATGCAGTAGTTTTCCTACTCTGCCTGGCTTATTTCACTTAACATAATGATCTCCATTTCCATCTATGTCTTAGCAAAAGAAAGGATTTCATTCTTTTTATGGCTGAATAGTATTCCATTGTGTATATATACAACATTTTCTTTATCCAGTCATTACTTGATGGACACTTAAGTTCTTTTCATTTCTTGGCTATTGTAAATAGTGCTACAATGAATATGAATGCAGACATACTGATTCATTTCCTTTGGATAAATAGTAGTGGGGTTGTTTGATTGTATGTTAATTCAATTTTTAATTTTTTGAGGAACCTATATTGTTTTCCATAATAGCTACACTAACAATGTAACAATTCCCACCAACAATGCATAAGGGTTTGCTTTACTCTACATCCTAATCACCACTCACTATGTTTTGTCTTTTAATTAATAGCTATTCTTAGTGGGATGAGGTGAAATTTCATTGTGGTTTTGATTTGCATTTCCCTGATTAGTTATGTTTGTTTAGCATTTTTCATATATATGTTAGCTGTTTGTGTGCCTTCTTTTGAAAAATATCTGTTTAGGTCTAATGCCCATTTCCATTTTTTGCCAGATTATGGTTTATTTCCATGAGCATTGCTCCTCCAGATCAACCCATGTCCCCCTGCTTGCTATGCAAACTTCTTGTTTTTTTCTCTTTACTTTAATAAATTTAAGATGATACATAAAAACTTAAAATCTGTACATATTAATGAGGTACTCTTAGGCACATATGCCAGAGAAATGAAAACTTAAGTCCACACAAAGACACTGTGTATGAATTATCATAGCACTTTTACTTGTAAGAGACCAAAAATAGTAAAAAGAGGTTGAGGAAGGACTCTAAAAACTCAACAGTTAAAAATTCAAAGAACCCAGTTAGAAAATGAGCAGAAGACATGAATAAGCAATTCATAGAAGAGGATATACAGATGGCAAATGAGCACATGAAAAGACGTCCAATTATTAACTAAATGCACAATGAGATGCATTGGCATACCTATCAGAATGGCTAAACTAAGCAGGGTGTGAGGTGGCACATACCTGTAATCCCAGCGGCTTTGGAGGCTAAAAAGCAGGAAGATTGCAAGTTCAAAAGCCAGCCTCAGTAACTTAGTGAGGCCCTAAGTAACTTAGCCAAGACCCTGTCTAAAAAAATAAAACAAACTATATGTGTATGTATAAATATGGCTGGGGATGTGGCTCAGTGGTTTAGCACACCTGGGTTCAATCCCTGGTAACCTCCTCCCACCAAAAAAAAAAAAAAAAAAAAACAGCTAAACTAAGGCACAGTCATAACACCAAATACTGTCAAGGAACAAAGAAACTGGATCGCTCATATATTTCTGATGGTAATTACAGCCCCTCTAGAAAAGAGTATGGCAATTTCTTACAAAATTAAAAATTACCTCGTTGTAACATCATACTACAAATAAGCAAAATATAATGTTTGGAGGAAAGTAGGTAAAGGGTATATGTGTATTTATAATGATCTCAAAATAAAAAGATTTTACAAAAATCCATGAAATTTGTTGAGTGGATATGAACGTCTAGCTACCACCAACAAAAATAGAAAGTACAACAGGAACAAAAGGGAAAAAAAAGGTTTGGTGTGGTGGTTCCATTTTAGCACATTTTTTTTCTGAAGTGTCCATATTAACACTCTTCACTTATCTTCCCTTATATACACTCTTTGCCGTCCTGATTATGCAACTTAAAAGTTCCTTTACATATTTCAGCAACTTAGAACCATATTGTTTGCATCTGAGTTTATGGAAATGTATTTCATTATGTAACAACATGGTTTATGCACAAAACGAAGTAATAATGAATCTCTAACGAAGCATATACATTTTCAGGCTGTAAATATAGTCGGAGTTGGAATGTTTGGAGGAACTGGCATAGTAACCACACCAGCAACTGTGCCAGCAGTAGTGCCAATGTTACATGAAGTTGAAAACAAAGTTCCTGCCAAATTGGCATCATCTTGCCTTGCTATTAAATGGGAGGAACCAGATTGCCATGGCTCTCCTATCACTGGATATAATATTGAATATGGAGATAGAAAAATCTTGAATGTTGGTAGAGTAACAGAGTGTCTTCTAAAAAATCTACAGCCTGACACCACATATAAGTAAGTCATTTATATCTTACTTTGCGTGAATGGAAAGAGCTTTGAGAATTTTGAGCGTATCTATATTTTGTATATTTTATTTAATCTACATAAGATTTTTTTGAAAAGTATTCTGCTACATCGGAGAAATTTGGCTTTATTAAGAGCCAGTTTCTCCTTCTCATCAATAATTTTCAATAGTGATTATGCAAATTTAAGAGTTTTGATTTGAAAATTTGTCTCTGATAGTGTAATATCATGGTCAATATCCTATATAGGGTTACTAGGGATTTAGCATATATGTAGAAAATTATTTTCTTTACTAAATATAAGTGAAAATATCTTAATTTTTTCTCTTAACACTAGAATCAGAATTCAAGCTATCAATCATTATGGACTAAGTCCTTTTAGCCAATCAATAAGAACCAAAACCAAGCCACTACCACCTGAGCCTCCACATCTTGATTGTGTGGTCTGTGGACATCAGAGCCTCAAACTGAAATGGGGTAACACTTCAAACAAAAGACTACTTTCCAACCTTATAAGCTATAACTTGTTAATGGCAGATCGTTCTGGCAGGTAAACTATTTTTCTATACATATATTGTAATAAAAATGGTTTAAATTTTATTATCTTAATCCTATAATCCACAGTGGTTGCAATGAACTAATTAGATGTAAAAGCAACCCATTACCATTAATTTTTTTCTCATAGTTCAGCTCTCTATTTTTGCCTCTTCCAAAGCACTTTTTCATTTACCTAACATACTTTAAAGACCAGGGAAAGAAGGTATGGAATGAAAGAAAACCAAAACCTTTTCATTATATTTATGATCTGCTTTTTTCCCCATTGTATTTCATCTTTCTGGCTTTAAGTTGCTTTCCTTAGGCCTTATTGAGGTTTTTAAAAGGTTTTAAGTTAGTTATATAAAGAGTTACTTGTACATGTGACAGGTGATTAATAATATCACTTCCCCCATCTCCATTCCCTCCCAGATTCTCTATCATTTACCATGGGCCTTGTCAAACTCACAAAGTGCACAGATTGGGTGAATATACTCAATACAAATTTAAAATTCAGGCATGTAATGAGGCTGGCGAGGGACCACTTTCTGGCGCCTATACTTTCACTACAACCAAAGCCCCACCACCCACACTTAAAGGTAAGTATTATTTGCCATAACACTGAAAGTTGCTTAATTTGAGTTCCAGTAGCTCATATATAAAATTTAGTACCACTGATTATTTAAATTCAGTAATATAATACCAAAAGAAACCAGTATTTAATTATGGATTTGAGCACAAATGTAGAATTTAATGAGACTCCCAAAATCCATATTTTTAAATATCTTAGAAATCATGTAATCCAGCCAACCACTCTACCACCACTACTATTTTTAAGAGAAAGAAGCTAAGTCCCTCAAATGGTAAGTAATTTAGCTAAAGGGCACTCAGGATCAGTGGCAGAGTCAAGATTGGATTATAGGCTCCTGATTCCCATAACAGTGCTCCTTCTGCTTTGTCATGATATCAGTTCCTTGGTGTAATTTTACTTTCTCAAATGGTTAATTACATGACTTATCAATTGCGAGCTAAAAAATAAGGCCCTGTAACCTTAGTTTATTTCAGAAACTCTAAATTCACTCTCCTGATTCGAACAGTACAACAAAATGTTTATAATACATAACAATGAGTCTAATTTAGTCTGTAGATCCTGGGATTTGAGGATTTTTTTCCTTCTCAGTTGTGAAATTTAGTTGTTCTAATCCATGCACATGAGTTTTATCACTATTATTAAGCCATTTTTCTTCATAGTAAAGTGTTATAACTAGAACATATTGGAATTAAATATGATTTAGATCACAGTAATACCTTCTTCTCTTCCTGAACAATATCCCTATATATTTAAGCCTCATTTTCACAAAAAGTAAGATTAATAATGTAAATAAACAGCCTTCCCACAGTTGCTTTTAAATGTATATGAAAATGCTTCCAAATGTAAAATGTCCAATAGAAATACAATGCAGGAGATTGTACCAGAAGGGAATAAACAAAAATAACAAAAGTTGTAAACACATCTTAATAGAAAAACTAAAAAGTATGCATTATCAATTGATAGTTTTAGTTTCTTAAATTTTTTATTAGTGATTAAGATGCCTGATGAAATAGTGATGGTATAGTTAAAATAATAAATGTATCTATGTATTTTTTTAATTAAGTCTATATGGGCTGCCGTTTAATGGTCTTAGAATTGTATGACAAATTTCAGTGTATCCAAGATCATCTAGAAAAAAATGGAATCATATAAATTGAAATTTTCTTTTTTTAGCACCTAAATTACATCACCAGAATAACAATATTTGTGACATCAAATGGGAATCTTTGGAACCAATAAAAGGAGATCCCATTGTTTACAGTCTTCAGCTGACCAGTGAAAAAGGAACTGAATTGGTAAATTCTTGCAAATTTATTCTTTAAAAATTTATAGTTTTATATCATGTTAAGGATTGAGCTTTTGTCAAGGAGTATAATATTCTTTAAAGATGCTTGAAGTAACTAAATCTTACCCAGTTCATCCTCCCTAATTGTTATGTACATAATACTTATTTTAGACAAATAGCTTGATCATTTAATTAGCTAATTACTATTGAATTATTTGGTATTTCTTGATTCCACTGACCACAATCAGTGACTCAATTCCAAACTAATGTAATTAATTTTAACAATTATAATTTTTTATTATTTCATACATTGAACAAAACAACCTAAATAATACTGAATGCTCTTAAAACATTAGAAAATAGAGTAAATTTTTAATTTTATTGTGAAAATGTTCTTGAAAGGAATAGATTCATCTTTCCTATTATCAAAAATATAGGTACACAATTAGATAGATAAATGAATAATTTTCATTTTAACTTTTTTTTTTTTCCATTAGATTTACAAAGGACCGAACACTTCATTCTCCTTTTCCAACTTCCTCACAAATTCACATTATCGCTTCAGGGTCTGTGCTGGACGCCAATATCAAAATTCTGCTGGGATGCAAGAAATCTGGGGACCATATAGTCCCAGCACTGTTTTCTCAACTCATAAGCAACAGCAGGGGCCTGGTAAAGGTGGGGGAGGAAAGGGAGGAAACAACCCTAGTGAAGAGAAAGATGAAAAGCACAGAATAGAGATGAGTGACGATACATTTGTTCTAATCCTTGTGATAGGATTTGCACTTGTTGCCATTCTGTGTGCTGTTGCAATTCAACACTTCCTAATCAATTAGTCTATTTTTGTGCCTTTTCTCCACTTAAGGAAGTTCTAAAACAAGTTACATCAAATGTAGTAATTGTTAGATATCTCAGCTCTTAGTTAAAAGTAAAACTCATTTGGTAGAAATTCCTTAAAACTTTTACCTAATAGCAAAAGAACTGCCTTTAATATTCAAGAAATCCACTGTGACATTAGAGATTTTCTTCCCTTAGGGAATATGTATATTTAAAATTCATAATTTTAGAAACAAAAACACTTCCATTGATATGCAAAACTAGAATCTGTGGAAACTATTTCTTGCCTTAATTTTTCAAATGAATATTTTCCAAACTTTTTGGAGTTATGAGAAAACAGCGTTTTCAAATTCTATTTAGAACAAAATGAGAAAAATGAATTCTACATGTCAACTTACATTCATATCAAATAATAAAATGTATCCACCAAACTTCTCCATGGTAATTTTTTCAAAGTAGTGTACTCAGCTATTGGTTTGTGCCCTGGTAATTACTTTGTTACTGCAGAAATAGTAATGTATACCACTTTGCTATAATGGGAAATAGAGGAAATGGAAATTAAGAAATGGAGAGACATTTAATACCTTTCTAAGTTTTTTTAAAAATATATCCTGTGTTGGTTACCTTCTAATCAGAACTGCTAAACATTACAAACAAACTCATTAAAATTGTTTTAATCCATGACATTAAAATATTTTTTATCACAATAGATGGAGTAGCATCCATGTCTAGTTAAAAATGAAGCATCAGTTCTCTGTTCTCACAATCCATCTTCCTGGAATTACTTTGGCAATCTTGCAAGAAACTATTTTTTACACTTATTGAAATGTTTAAATATTATCTTCTATTTCAGAGTTTTTTCTTTGTAAAAAGAAAAATCAGAAATTCAAGTGGAAAACATCCAACTTTCATTTGCACTAATAATTTTATTATATGGCATTATCTTTCACTGAGTACTGATAAGTGATATTATAGAATAAGTAATATGATAAAAGTGCTGGTAAATTTTGATAGACATTGGTTTCAGGCTTGCTTCCCAAGAAGGACTATGGTTTCCATCACGTGTCAGATAGTAGTTTGTTTCCACTAACCAAATGGTTAGTCCGTATCTATTTAATCCACTATACAAGTTCAACAGACCCTTTTCCATCTGCATCTCACTCATTCCCAGACTAGTTTATTTAAATATATTTTTAGTTGTTGATGGACCTTTATTTTATTTATTTGTATATGGTGCTGAGAATCGAACCCAGTGCCTCATACATGCTAGGCAAGCACACTACCACTGAGCCACGACCCCAGACCCTCAGACTAGTTTTTAGACCTTGCAATAAATTGGACATTGCAGAAGAAATTAATATTAAGCCTTACTGCAGCACTGTTCACAATAGCCAAGATAATGAGTCAAATTAGGTACCCATTGAAGGAAGAATGGATAAAGAAAATATGGTATAGATACACAACTAAATATTATTCAGCTATAGAGAAGCATAAAATCCTGTCATTTTCAGCAAAGTTGATAATGGGACTGAATGATATTATTTTAAATTAAATAAGCCAAAACAACAAAAAGATACTGCAGGTTCTCTCTTTTCATATGTGAGAGCTAAAAAGCCAATCAGAATGTAAAATTGTGACTACCACAGGTTGTAAAGGTTGAAAGGAGGGAAGATAAAGAGTGGTTGAATAATTGGTACCAACACACAAATAGAAGGAATAAGCTCTAGTGTTCCTCAGCATAGTGGTATGACTTTAGCTTATAATAACCTGTTATATTTTGCTTGAAAAACGAGAAGAGAGGAGCTCAAAAGGCTCCATACATAAGGAAATGATAAGGAGATGATTTGATCACTGCATGCTGTACACATGTGTTGAAATATCACAGTGATATTTCACAAACTTGGAGGAAGAAAAGGGAGGTGGGCACCAAGTCATTGCACAGGAGAGTTGGGTTGGTCCCTCCATGGTGAGGCTCAGAGCCAGGTAGAATCCTGCAATAGCTGAATTTGATTATTATATGTTATTCAAAAATTTAAAAATAAAATTGAGAAAAGATTACTAAGCCCCAAATCAGCAACAGAAATTATTCAAAATGAAATGCTAAGATAAAAAATTTAATTAACATACTGGGAGCAAGATGGCAGCTGAGTAAGATGTCCCAGCAATCACCTCCCTAAAGAAACACCAATTTGAACAGCGATTAATGCATCAATCCATTTTCACAAAAGCTGAAGAAGCCAGGTGAGATACCACCACGGTGCCTGGTATTAGCATAATCAGAAAAGAAGCAATGATGAAGGCAGGGAGGAAAGAGTTGCCTGTGTCACTCCTCCCCAACTTCCAAGTAGCAAAAAAGAGGGACTTCTCCCACTTGGGAGAGGGAGAGGGAATTAAGTCCAGACCTTTGATTTAGAATTCAGTACCACAGTTAAGTCCAGTAGTTGACTGAGCATTGGACCCTCCTTTGCCAGGAGGCCAAAGGACTGCTTCCATTACTCCTCTCCCAACTTTGGGCAGCAGAGCAATGAGCTAACTCCACCCACTAAGGAATAAGACAAGATAGCACAAGACTTTGCTTTTGACCTGTGTGAGGCCTTCTATAATGAGACCCAGCACTAACTAAATCCTAGAAGCCCCTATCTCCAGAACAGAATTCACAGAGCCTCTGGATCAGTCCCGGCACTAATCAGGGGCTTGTGCTCTGGTAATTCAGCCTGCATCACCTCCAGCCACATATGGGCCTAGGAAATACAACCATTGTTAAGGCTATGAGACTATGGTGTGACCCAGCTTAGTGTCAGCCTGAGCAGCAAGAGACTTCCATCAAACCAACCCTAAACTCTGGAAGACAGCAAGGACTAAGACTCCAACGTCAGAGGAATAGGTCAGGAAAGTGAGCACAGGAGTGTGTCTTGGAACTTCATTCAAGGCTGGTAAAAACTTTGGGTAGATCCCAGGCCAGTACATGTGAGTAGAATCTATGAACATAACTCAGTGCCAGGTGAAAACCCATGGTCTCTGTCAGCTGGACTTATGACCCAGCCTGGGATATGTTGCAGTAGTATTGGGTGGCAAGCTCACCTCAACAGCAGGTAGCCCATAGTATTGTGGGCCTTTATTCTATCCACATGCTGCAATGATCTTGGCAGGGTATGGGCTTCAGGAGTGATCTAGCTTTGCATCATTAGTGGCCATGGGACTGCCCATCCCATTCCCTGTCTCCAGCCTCCAATCTCAGCACAACATGAAGAGAGTAACTCTCTACTTGGGGAAAGAAAAAAGAGGTGAATACCAAGTCATTGCATATGACTTGATACATGCCTAACTCCCAGTGAGGCTCAGAGCCAGGTAGAATCTTATACAAACTGACTTTCGGCTTTTGACTGTGGATGAAGCATCAGGGTCAATTCCAGCCTCAGGTAGAAATTTGTGATAATGAACTATCCTTTGCAAATACTCTTTCAATTCATTCTGAACAAGACACTAACTACAGATTTGGGACAAACTAGACTTGGTGTACCCTCTAGTACTGAAATAGTGAAAATAGCCACAGGCTCAGAGAAAATGAGACTACTTAGAATTTCTGGAAGGACAAGTACAAATAAAACTTGATTATGAAAACTTGAAAAAGTGCCTAATCCTTCAAAACATAGGTGATGCATATACCAACACTCATCAAAAACTTACAAGGAATCATGACTTTACTTACTGAATAAAATCAGGCTCTAGAAATTGACCATTTAGCATGTGATATCTGAAAATTCTCAAAGAATTAAAAATAGTTGTTTTAAGGAAACAATGAACTTCAAAAAAGAAAGAAATTATTTAATAGTCTGGTAGGAAAATTCAAAATAGAAACAAATATTTTAAAAATCAAGCAAATTGAGTTGAAAAATACATTAAGTGAAATTTAAAATGTGATAGAAGACATCAGTAGAAGCATAGATCAAACAGAAGAGAGAAGTAGAGAGCCTGAAGATAGAAAAAGGACTGGATATGAATGAAGAAAGCTTACAGGAAATTGTGGATGGCTTTGAATGAATTTTTAATTGTTAAGGTTAAAAAGCAATTTGAGAATGCCAAGGAGGGTAGAAAGATTAATCAAAGATATAACAGAAAACTTCCCAGAGAAAGATACAACTGTCCATACATGGTCACAAGTTAGAACTAGTTCAAACAATTCTACCACAAGACATAATCAAGTTCCAAAGGTGAAAAATTCCTGAGACAACAAGAGAAAGACTAATAACAAATGAGAACATCTCAATTCACCTGAAATCAGACTTCTCAGAAGAAATCTTACAGTCCAGAAAGAGTGGTATATGATTTGCACAGTACTGAAAGAAAAAATAAAAATCGTCAGGGCTGGGGTTGTGGCTCAGTGGTAGAGCATTGCCTAGCATGTGGGAGGCACTGGGTTCAATTCTCAGCACTGCATATAAATTAAAAATAAAGGTCCATTGACAACTAAATTAAAAAAAAAAAAAAAACTGTCATGCTCACCCTGCAAAGTTATGGTTTAGAAATAAAGGAAAGATAAACACATTCCGAAACAAAAGCTGAGAGAATTTATCAGCACCAGACCTGTCCTACAAGAAATGCTAAAAGGATATCTTCAAAAGGAAGAGAAGGTAGTAAGAAGAACATATTGGAAGTCATAAAACTCACTAGCAGATGAATTATGCAAATAAATTCAGAATGCTTCAATATTATAAACAGTACATAAAACATTCATAACTTTAGTATGAAGAATGAAAACAAAAAATTAAAACTACATTAATATGTTAAGAGTAGCAATATAGAAATGTGTAAAATGGTACACCAAAAATTCAAAATGTGGGAAAGAATGGAGTGCAAGTCCAGTTTTTATTAGTATTTTTTCCTCTTTTTCATTTCTTTTCATATCACCATGATTAATTGCTCTGCTATAATTTCAAAATAGCTTGTTATAATCAAGATATTTTAATCCTCATGGTAAACACAAAGCAGAAATCAATAA